AGGCTTCTGCTTAATCCCTACCTGCTATATCTGCTACTTGACCTCAGCTTGCCCACCTCCTGGTGGGGCGATCCTGATGATGATGACTTTGTACTAACACACATTAAAACCCATCTCCACCATTAGGAGCTCTAGTGACTATTGTTTAGTGCTTAGACCCCGGTCAGCCCATGTCATCGGCCAGGGTAACCTGCTTATGCACTCATCTTGCTGGTTGGTGGGAACCTCTTTACTAATATAACTACAGGTCTCCAAACCTGACCCCTGACTACAGCAGTGGATCTATAAGGAGGGTGTCTTGCTACTCCCAGAGGGTCTGTGCTGCCCACCTGGATCTGACTGAGGGACAGTTTGAATGTGATATCTGGATGAACCAACTTCATGCACGGGCATTGCTGGACTCAGGTAGAACAAAAACCCTTGCCTATATCAGGGTGTCTGGGAGAGTGTTCCCCCTAAAACCCTCTGAGTAGTATGCATACATGGGGACACTAGGGAGTACCTGCTGGTTTCAATGGCAAAAAAAACTGTGTGTAGCATGGCTGCCCAGAAAGTAAAGATGGTACCCAACACGATTTATGACATCACTGTGGGAACAGGTTGACAGTTCTGTTCCCTATGATGGGCTGGACAGTGGGAGTATAGAGAATGCCGGTAATAATGTGCCTGTAGTAGATGGTTTACAGACCAAATAGACCCCTGAGGGGGATAATCTCTCTTATACTGTTGATGGTTGGGGAGAATATAGAGGAAACTTCCGAACTACAGGTTATGGTCAAGAAGGATGATGGGGAAGATTCCTCCAGTCCAGTGCATACTAACTTGGAACTGTAAAGGAGTACATTTGGTGCCGCCAAAATATAGGACCCCACAGCAAATATACCAGGGACTTTTTTTCTTGTTTCTCCTTCCCCTCTCAATAATTAAAAACTCTAGTGAGTGCCATGGTCAGCTCTGATCACTGGCTGTAAGGTCCTTCCCCTCTCCTTGACTGTTTTCTCTTCTCCCTTTCTTACTTTTTACTTCCCTCTTTTTTTCTTTTTCCTTCCATTTACAATTATTTTGAGGAAGAATCCGTGAGACATTAATTCCTTTCCGTTCTTTATATTGTACTATATGCACCCCTATAAGGTGGTCCATTTTATGACTATGCTATCTGTCCCTTTTGCTAGACATATTCCTTCTGCATATATTACAAGACCTTCTTTGCAATGTTTCAAGCTTTTATTACTGTGTACTCTTGTGTTCTTCAATAAAAAAAATTTGAATAAAAAATGCTAGGGAGCAAGTCAGAGTGATTAATGGGGTACCACAAGTGCTTGAGGCTAAAAACGAAGTTTCCACACTTGCGTGTTGATATACCAATTCACCAAAGTCCAGGGAGAAGTTGTGGACCAGTCTTTTAGATGCATGGTACTAGACTTGGCTCACAATGATGCCTTAGGAGCTCACCTGGTGGCATGACTGGTTCTACTGGCCAGAAGTCACTGCAAAAATAAAAAGGTATTGTGGTTCATGTCCCGGTTGTCAACTAATTGCTCACATTTTAGAAACCCTTTGATACCTAGGGTACCTTGTTGCCTATTATTGCGGTACCATTTTAGGGTATTGCAATAGATCTGATGGAAACCCTGGTGAAATCAGCCCAGGTAATCAGTATGTCCTTGTGGTACTCGATTACAGTGCTCATGAATGTTGAACGTTATTTAACATGTTTTGAATAACTGGGTTCCCTAAAGAAAATCCTACTGGACAAGGTACTCTGGTCATGTCAAAGGCGATGGCAGACTTGTGCAAGTTGTTCCAGATTAAACAATTGCACTTAGCTGTCTCTCACCCACAGACGGGTGGGCTAGTCAAGCATTTTAACAAAACCCTAAAATCTATGCTCAAAAGGGGTGTACAAAAAAACAGAAAAGATTAGGACTGCTTACTCCTGGCATTTCAAGCATACCACATTTTCTCTTTTTGATTTTGTGTATGGGCAACAACCTTAGGGGTTGCTTAATCCCAAGTTTGCCTAAGTTGCAGCACTCTATATCTAGCTATTTTGTGGACAGCCTACCCATCAAAGGAGCTGGGACTCACCATCCATTTCAGACCCAATGGCATGAGCCTCAACAGAGGTTTTTGAGACCCTTAAACAGCTAAATTCGGTACTCATCTTTGCCTACATGGACTATATCAAGCCCTTTAAAGTTTACACAGATGGGAGTTTGCAGGATCTAGATGAGGTGCTGGTACAAGAGCAAAATGGACTAGTCATAGTGAACACCAGCCACAGACTCAGACCCTCTGAGCACAACCCCCATAATTACAGATTGTTTAGATTGGAACCAGGGGCGGACTGACAACTCATGGGGCCCCCGGGCAATAGGGGATCATGGAGCCCCTGAGTCCTTGCCCAAACTCAAAAAAGCCTATGAAAAAGGTACCAGGGCCATCTTATGGGGCCCCCTACTGACCCTGGGCCCTCGGGCAGTGCCCAAGTTTCCAAATGGTCAGTCCGCCCCTGATTGGAACTAATGGCTCTTGTGTGGGTTATCATGGACAGTACATCATGGAAACTCAAATTGACGTTTATACTGATAATAATTCCCTGTTGTATCTCGACTCAGCTAAACTGGGGGCTCTGGAACAAAGGTGGGTGGCTCAACTGGCCCACTTCAATTACAAAATTCACTATAAATCTTGCTGTCTGAATAGCAATGTGGAAACACTTTCTCGATTTCCTGTAGAGCATCCCCAGGGAGATATGGATTAAAGTCGGGAGGATTTGGGACTGTCTTCTCTTCTCCTATATATTTGGATTATGTAGTGTAAAGTTAACCTGTCCATCTGTATTATGTGCCTTTATGCTGTGCTTTTCTTTACAATGCCAAATGTAGTTCTTCTCCACCTAGCAGGTGGCACCTTGCTCAAGGATGAAGTGGAAACCAAAGGGGAAGATATTACCCTGCAGCCTTGGTAACTGTCACAGGAGAGCCAGTTGTCTGTTTGGATGGCCCTCTTGAATGAGGGTAGTGCTAATAAAGAGCAGAGCCCTACCAGGATAGTGGAGGGAAAGGTACCCAGTCTGGTAGGGATACAGTACTGGTGCCAGGGAAAGGTTCCAGTGTGAGTAGGGCCAGTGTAGGACACCACTCTGTGCTGTAGTCAGCACCAATCTCCAGTACTGCTGCTCTTAGAAATCATGGGACGCCATGCAGCCTACCGGAGAGGGTTCCCCATAAATGTCAAAACAATATTTTGGATAAAAATACATTATTTGCAAACACAGTCACAACACTCCTCACAAAATCCAAGCTAAATCTAAAAGATAAAACTGTCATGAACCTACCCACCTGATTCTACTTAGTTTTCCGGTGGGTGCTCTTCCATTTCATTAGATCATACGGTAGGCTATCTCCTCTCCTTCAGGGTTTTACCCCCATCCATCTGCTCCGGTTCATTGACTAATCGCCTAAATCTACCCACGTAAGACCCTTGGTATTGAGAATACCACAAAACCTGCCCATTCTCCCCCTTCCACCCTCCCCCCCCATTTTTTTCTCTCTCTCTTCTTCTTTCTCTTCTTTCTCTCTCCCTCTTTCTCTCTTTTCTTTCGTTCTTGTTACACGCCCAGTTTGCTACTGGTTACCCATCTAGAGAAATTTAGGCTTGTGAATGTCATACTCTCTTTATCTACTTCAGCGACCTTCACGACGATCTAAACTAGAATACAGGCACTTTCCTTCGAGTACGATCCCAGCTTAGTCTCCATCATTTGTGCCGCATCTTCCCTCCCTCCCGCTGTAGCTCTGCAGCGAGAATTACGCACATAGGAGGCTCGATGCAACAGCATTCCCATCCAGACTACTACAATGCCTGAGTATTACAAACCTGTCCCTGTCGTTGATTGGTTTAATAATGTGGCATATGTCTTTCTCTCTGCAAGAGATTTTCTATTTTTTCATGGTTTGTATCGACAATTGTCATATCTGAGTATCATTTGCATTCCTTTTGTAACATTTTGTGCTTTTTCAATAAACGTTTTTTTGGGAAAAAAAAAAAAACTGTTGTGAGTTAACAAATACAGCTCTGTGTGTGAATAAGGTCTTGAGGCTCATTCACATGGGTGCCATGGCCTGTTTAGTGTGAAACTGCCTATGTTCAATAATGGGGACTCAGCAGCTTCATGAACACAGCCACAGGTTCTAATTTCACAGGCATGTGGGTGCAGGTGCATGGCCCCAAACACAGACAGTGTACATTAGGGGTCACTCACCTGCACTTGCACGCCTGTCAAATTAGAACACAGTGAGAGAGGGCCATGTGCTGCTTGTCTTACCGAGAGGATGATGGATTTCTGTGACTTTCTCCTAGAACAGGCAGGAACTTTAAAACCTTTGGTGGGGCAAGTGGATGCTACCAGTGAGCCAACGCTTTATTTTGTACCAGTTTATGGACTATTTCTGTTTATGCTGAAGATAAGCTGCTTTTCTTGTTTTTGGAGAAAAATAAAGACTGTTTTAAAATTATACGGGTGGCTAGTGATCAGAACCCACAAATATTACAGTGGGCAGGAATGTTTTAGTCTAAGATTACTAAAAACATCTAACTCACAAAATGGAATGCAGTTGTCATTTAAAAATCCTACAAAATAAAATTGAATAAACTCATTCAGAGATAAAGGACGTCAGGCTCAATTCACAAAACTAACACACCAGTATGAGCACACTTATAGACACTTTTTGTGGGAAAAATAATTGTCACACAAAAAGTGACCGCTTTTTTCAGTTGGGTCCAGATTTGAAAATTACAGTCACATGAATGAAAAAAAGATCCTTATTTTTGTGTTAGGGCTTTGTGAATTAATCCCAATGTGTTAAAAAATTCAACTTAGCATCAGAAAGCCTCAGCAGAAGACTTTATTTGTTTAGTTGTCAGAAATTAATGTGTTAACAGTTTTTTCAGACTCTTTTTCACATCTTGGTTCCTCAGGCTGTATATAAAAGGATTCAGCATAGGTGTGATGATGGTGTAAGCCATGCTAACAATGCGATCATACTGAGATGAGTAGTCTGATGGAGGACGGAAGTAAATGAAAATGTCGGTACCATAAAACAGGCAAATGACCATGAGATGAGAAGAACAGGAGAGGAAAAGGCTTTGCTGCGGCTACTGCTGTTTTTCATTTTCACTATATCCCGCGTAATGAGCACATAGGAGATGAGAATGAAAAGGAACGGAATGTTAGCAGCCAAAGAACCTTCGGTGTATATTAGGAGCTCAGCTAGTGCAGTACTGGAGCAGGACAGTTTGATGAGGGGTGTCACATCACAGAAGAAGTGGGGGATCAGTCTGTCTTCACAGTATGTTAAATGTGAAAGAATATAAGTGTGCAATAATGAATGTAGAGAAGCTGCAAGCCAACAGAAGCTAGTTAACATGACCATTAGCTTATCACTCATTAACAAAGTGTAGCGTAAGGGGTTACATATAGCCAAATACCGATCAAATGCCATAACCGACAGAAGAAAACTCTCGGTGGTGCCCAAAAACAGGAAGAAGAACATCTGAAGAAAGCAGCCATGGAAGTTGATCAAAACTCCTCCATGAAGAATGCAGGATAGTAGCTTGGGAACGGTAACTGTAGCAAAAGAGATATCCACTGCAGACAGGTTCCCCAAGAAAAAATACATTGGTGTGTGCAACTGTGAAGAAAGTTTAATAGAACTTAGTAAAAGTAGGTTAGAAGCCCAGGTGAGGGCGTATATGACCAGAATGGTAGAGAAGAAAGCAGCATGGTTGTAGTGAAAGTCTGAGAAGCCCAGAAGAAAAAAACTAGAGGTTAGATTTATTGTTTCCATTATCAAGGAGTCGGCAAGGTCAAGTGAAAGTACAATACCTACAATCAATAGCAGAACACTAGATGCCACCTTTACTGTAGAGTAAAATGGATCTCAATCTTCAAAGCATTATCTAGAAATTAACAAGGTTAATTAAATACTCTTTACTTTTCATCATTATGTAAATATATATATAAAATATCATGTTACTTTTTTTCAGGTACAATATTTTCAGCATTCTCTGTTAAATCATTCCGGAATTTTTATAGTTTTAGAACTTCAACAAACCCTTTCCTGAAACAATCTGTCAGTGTTCCCAAAGTGGTTAATATTGGACCCCTTGGGTCAATGAGACTATCCAAGTGATCAATAAAATTGCTAAGGGTCAAAACAGGGCAAGTAAATATCTTTCGGTCAATAGGTGCCTGATTAATAATGGAAACTCAGTTGAGGTCAATAAATTAATATTATTGGTAAGGGAAATATTGTGGCGCCTAAATGACTTGATATCCAACCAATAATGAATGTTGCTCTCATTGAGCCTAGGCAAAAAAGGGTTAGCAGCTGCCCCCTAAAACGTTAAATACACTTAGACAAATAAATGCGTGAATAGGTAGGTGCTACAATAATTAATAATAAATCAAAAATATAAACAATTAAATAATAAAGTGAACTCTGAACGTCATCTGACAAATGATATTCCTGGGCAAAAAATAATATATTGTGAACATAATATGTTAAGGTGACAGCCCCATGAAGATGTAGTCCTGTAGACCAAAAAATATAAGGTAGGCTAGCCTATGTAAAGGTAAGCCATTGAGGACAAATTTGCAGTAGTCAAGGTGAGAGATGACCAGGGAGTGAATTAGAAGTTTTGTGGTGTCACTGGTTAAGAAGGGGCATATTTTGGAGATGTTGTGGAGGTTAAGGTGACAATATTTGGAAAGTGATTGGATGTGTGGCCAAAAGGAGAGTCCAGGATTACATCTAGTACCCTGGCATGCAGGCACAGGTTGATAGTTGAGCCATTGGTTTTGACAGAGAAGTCAGGGGAAGAGGCATGTGGGGGGAGGGGGGGGATTTTATAAACTCGGTTTTGGATAGATTGAGTTTGAGGAAGTGGTGTGACATCCAGATTGATATGTCTTTCAGTAAATGAGTGATATGTAAGGAGACTAATGGAGTGAGCTGAAAAGTAGAGATATATTTGGGTGTCAACAGTGTAGAGATGGTATTGAAAGCCATGGAAGGCTATCAGATGACCCAAGGAAGAGGTGTAGATAAAGAATAGGAGATGTGTGGTGGGATAAGTAGGATGAGAATCAATGAAGAATATAGTCTACAATACGGCGTGGTCAACCATATCAATGCAGCAGAAATGTTCAGGAGTTTTTTCTGTAGAGCTCCATGTCAGTCTCAAGTCCTGAAGGCAAGTTGTTAGCTGGGAGATAGTGTTATCCTGGGTTAGATGGCTGTAAAGAGGGGTCATCATACCCACCCACTGATGGGAGGAGCTATTGTAACATCATGAGATCGTGTGATTTGCTTTATTTGTGATATAAGGACTATGCAACATCCAAAATTGGCTCTGAGAAAGAGGGGGCCCCACCTTGAAACCCGTCAGCCTTTTGGATGGTCTTCCTGTGAATTGCTTAGGAGACCAGGTCACCTTGAGTGCATTGTGGACATCAATGTGCCTTTATTCATGACTCGTTTGTCGAGTCAGTACATATGTATTTTGTTCATACAATAAAGTTGTCACAAAGGTAATGCACAAGGCTAGTGAGCCCTCTGTTCCTTGTTTTCTAGTATCTTTTTTGGTCTATCTGACCTTGGCTTGGTATCGAGATATCCCTGAATTTTCCAATTCTTAATAAGTGAATAAAATAGTACTGACTGGCATATTCAAGGCTTTGGATTTCTTTTTTTATCCTTTTCCATCTTTATAAGGTTCCATTACCTTGTTACGCAGGTCTTTCAACAGTTCTTTTCTGCTCCCCATGGCTCAGTATCTAGCCTGCTCAGTGCATCCACAAACTCAATGACTATTTATATGCAGGCACTAATTTCAATTTAAAAAGCCACAGATGTGGACAAATAACCTTAAATTGTCATTGTAACCCGTGTGTGTCACCTTGTGTGTCTGTACCAAGGCCAAACATTCCAGGGGAGGGAAACTTTTGATTGGGGCCATTTGGGGGATTTCTGTTGTCATTAGGATTTAAAAAGAAACCAAACAACTAGGTGATAATAAATGGCTTCATATGATCACTGTCCTTAACAGCCTCCTGACTGCCATATAGGGAAATGATGGACAGGCAGGAGCCTGAGAGGACATCAGATGGTATTCTCCCACTCTAGCTGCGTATGCGTGCCCCTGGGGACACGCAACACAGCTACCAAACACGGTAAAGAGCCAAAGACACAGGCTCTACCATGTGATTTGTTTCTAGTCACAGCTCATTACATGTAAATAGGAAATGCCACTTATCGGCAGTCCTCTCCTCATGATAGAGGAGAGCCAGTAAGCGGCATTCCTCAGAGGGGACATCTACACTGATAATCAGGGCACTGATCGTAAATGCCCTGATTATCAGTGCAGCCCCATCATTGCTGCCTTTCAGTGCCCATCATTGCTGCCTATCAGTGCCCATCAATGCCACATATCAGTGCCCATAAAAGCTGCCTTTCAGTGCCCATCAGTCCTGCCTATCAGCGCCTCCTCATCTGTGCAGTCTATCATTACCCATCAGTTCCACCTATCAGTACCAGTCAGTGCCACCTATCAGTGCCTCCTATAAGTGCCACATATCAGTGTCACATATCACTGCCCATCAGTGCTGCCTTTCTGTGCCCATCAGTGATGCCTGTCAATGTCCATTAGTGCCGCCTATAAGTGCCTCCTCATCAGTGAAGTCTATCAGTACCCATCAGTGCTACCTATCAGTGCCAATCAGTGCCGCCTATCAGTTCCAGTCAGTGATTCTTATCAGTGCCACATATCAGTATCCATCAATGCCACATATCAGTGCCCATCAGTGATGCCTGTCAATGCCCATTAGTGTGGCCTATATGTTCCTCCTTATCAGTGCAGTCTATCAGTACCCATCAGTGCTACCTATCAGTGCCACCTATCAGTGCCAGTCAGTGCTGCCTATCAGTGCCCATAAGTGCTGCCTATTAGTGCCACACATCAGTGCCCATCAGTGCCATATATTGGTGCCCATCAGTGCTGCCTTTCAGTGCCCACAAGTGATGACTGTCAATTCCCATCAGTTCCACCTATAAGTGCCTCCTCATCAGTGAAGTCTATCAGTACCCATCAGTGCTACCTATCAGTGCCAATCAGTGCCGCCTATCAGTTCCAGTCAGTGATTCTTATCAGTGCCACATATCAGTATCCGTCAATGCCACATATCAGTGCCCATCAGTGATGCCTGTCAATGCCCATTAGTGTGGCCTATATGTTCCTCCTTATCAGTGCAGTCTATCAGTACCCATCAGTGCTACCTATCAGTGCCACCTATCAGTGCCAGTCAGTGCTGCCTATCAGTGCCCATCAGTGCTGCCTATTAGTGCCACACATCAGTGCCCATCAGTGCCATATATTGATGCCCATCAGTGCTGCCTTTCAGTGCCCACAAGTGATGCCTGTCAATTCCCATCAGTTCCACCTATAAGTGCTTCCTCATCAGTGCAGTCTATCAGTACTCATCAGTGCTACCTATCAGTGCCAGTCAGAAGTGCGATAGCGCTGAAAGCTGAAAATTGGCCTGGGCAGGAAGGGGGTGAAAGTGCTCGGTAGGCAAGTGGTTAAATAAAAGACAGTTTTTTGGCATGATCAGACATATTTTCAGTATCAATGCCAAAATGACATGATTTCCATCAGGGTATGCGAACTTTTGAACACTACTGTAAGTTGCCTCCCACCCTCCTCTTTCCAGGAAGGATATACTTAAGTGTTCATTTCCCATACTTACAGTAGCTTCATAGAATGACACAATGGGGTGTATTTAGAAAACTGCTTGTACATTTGTTCTGTCAGCAAATTAGAATGTCACTAGGCAATTATCTCTCCAGATCGGATGATAAGTTGCTTGTCTAAGGTATTATGATAATTCACCAAACATTCCTTTGTTCATATTTTTTGATTGATCTGCCTTAGCACCATAAATTAAGCACTATTAGAAATTACAGAGTATATTAGTATATCGCTCAAAATGACAGGAAAAAGAAAACAAATGCAGTCACCACAAGGACCAATAAGCAGCAATATATTTCATTTTTGTTTTTGGGTTTAGATATTCTTTAGGAGCTAGAACAAAAAAATTGAGGACAGATGGTTTACTTTATGGTAGATTTGAAAACTTGCTTCTTTTAGAATTCTGTCGGAATGCTCTTTCTTATTTGTGATTTTTTTTTTTTTAATATTTTTTTTTTCTAGAAAATAATACAAATAGGTTTTCTTATGTTTCACACATTGTCATACCATTTTATTCACTTTAGGCCATCCATATCACATCCTTTTGTTTGAGGCTTTGTCCTGACATGACAATGACATGTCATGAAGGTA